CATCAGATTATCGTTTCAACCTATCTGTGTACACATACCTATGTATGTACACATTTTCCGAGCCGCCTCACAGCTAGCAGTCAGCATCCAAGAACAGCGTATAGTATTCAGCCTGCAGGTCGCGCTTGTGGATAATATAGCTTCCTTGACGCAACCCCATCCTAGCAGCTTTCGCTTGCGATGTGTTTGTCCTCGTCGTCCTCCTCCTCCTCCTCCTCCTCCTCCTCCTCGTCCTCATGTATTTCAAATGCGGCCCGTGGACCTCTCCTGCAGCGCGGTCTGGCCATTACTTCGAGGCGAATCCGTGCGTGGCGACGAAGGCCCTTCTCATCCTCCTCCTCCTCCTCCGTGTCTTGTGTCTGCCTCTGCCTGCATGACCCCTACCCCGTGTCGGCCTCCTCTTCCACTTCCCTGTTTTTCCTCCCCCTCCCCCCCCCCTACCTCCTCCCCACCCCCCTGTGTCTCGAGCGCGGGGGATTGCGGAACCCCTCGCCTTTCGGAGGGTGGTTTCGTGCGCTTTGTTGCGCCGCGCCTCCTTCCTACTCCTCGTCCTCCTCCTCGTCTTCTTCCTCCTCCTCCTCCTCCTCCTCCTCGTCGTCCTCCTTCTCCTCCCTCCTCCTCCCTCCTCCTCCTCCTCCTACTCCTCTCTTCCTCCTCCTCCTCTTCCTCTTCCTCCTCCCCTCCTCCTCCTCCTCCTCCTCGTCCTTCTCCTCCCTCCTCCTCCTCCTCCTCCCCCTCCTCCTCCTCCTCTTCTCCTCCTCCTCCACCTCCTCCTCATCCTCATCCTCCTCCGTCTCCTCGTCGTCCTCCTCCTCCTCCCCCCCTCTCCTCCTCTCATGCTTCTCCTCCTCCTCCTCCTTTTTTCTCCTCCTTTTTTCTCCTACCAGTCACATACACACGCACACACGCACACACGCACACACACACATACACACACACAACGTCGTCAACTTCACGTATGTATTTTTCGGGGGGGGGGGGGGCGCGGAGGGGGCGGGTGAGGAGGAATAAGTGAAGGAGGAGGAAGAGCAGGAGGACGAACAGAAGGATGAAATCCCCCTCCCCTCCCAAAAGAGCAACGAGCTTGATAACCATTAGCTGGAACTCCCCATAGTTTGTTTCTTTTCCTGGGGGGGGGGGGGGCAAACCGATGAGGATGAGAAGGGGGAACATGAGGAACGAGGAGGAGAGACGAATAGGAGGTGGAGGGGGAGGAGGATGAGGAGGAGGAGGAGGAAGAGGAGGATGCAGGGTGATGACGGGGACGAGGACGGGGGGAGGAGGACGACGAGGAGGAACCAGAAGAAAACTCACAAACAAAAGGTGAGGCGG